GCAGTGATCTTCTCATTTGAGAGGCACAGCAGTTTACCCATATCGACGCTAAATACTAAAATGAAGAATAAGTCATTTTTTTCCTACTTGGAAGGCTGAGAACAGGAAGATCATGGTTCAAGGCCAGCCTCGGCAGAAAAGTTCATGACATTACTTCCATCCCAAGCCACAGCTGGTTGCAGTGGTTTGCATCTATCATCCCAAACTTCACGGGAGGCAGAGATTGGGAGGACTGTGCTTCCAGGCCAAGTAGTGTAGAACAACAAACAAACAAACAGCAACAACAAAACCATGGGGCTGGGAAGATGGCTCAGTGGTAGAGTGCTTACCTTGCATGCATGAGGCACTGGGTTCAATTCCTCAGCAGAAAAAGCCAGAAGTGGTGCTGTGGCTCTAGTGGTAGAGTGCTAGCTTTGAGTGGAATTGCTGAGAGATAGCACCCAGACCCAGAGTTCAACCCCACGATGGACAAAAAACAAACAAGCAAACAATAAACCTAGGAATCTCTGTCTCCAGTGGTATGTACTCAGGACTCTAGCTAAGATGGGAAGTTTGAAGGATGTAGATCGAAGCCTAAGGGTGCGATTCATTCTAACGTGAAGTCTTTTGCTTTTATTTCAAAATTGGCAAAAAAAAATATTAAGACGTCTTAGGCTGTTATTTATTAATTACCTAACAGTATTTTTTAATATGGAGAAATTCTCTATTACTATTTCAGGAAGAGAGAATATATTATTATTATTATTTCTTAATGGCCTGGTTAGCTTTTTTAAGATGGAGATATAGCTCCCTGCTTTTTCCTGCAATTCTGCACACATTATACCGCACTGCGGGGGATGCAAACCACAAGGCTAACTTCACTTTGGGGGCAGATGTTGGCCACATGTAGATTTTCATGAGCATGCACTCATATGCTGCGTCAATCCCCACCCCCAATTCTCTTCTGAAGTGTTTCTGTGTGGTTTCATGACAGAGATAGTTTAAGTCTTTGTTTAGGCATCTCAACCCAAATTTCTTGCTGTGGGTATCTACTACTATTTGTGTGTGTGTGTGTGTGTGTGTGTGTGTGTGTGTGTGTGTGTGTGTGTGCGTGCATGTGTGCGCGTGCTAGTCCTGGGCTTGAATTCAGGGCATAGGCACTGTTCCTGAGTTTTTTGTTGCCCACAGTTGGCACTCTATCATTTGAGCCACACTCCCTGAGTGGACAAAAGTGCTCACAATGGAACTTCAGGTTAGCTTTAGGAAATAAAGAGATTTATGTTTCAGGCAAAAGGCTGAGTTTTTTTCCCCATAAACATTTATAGATATAAGTGTTATACCTGAGTGCTTTTGATCTTTTTTGGGGGGGAGGGGAGGTCCCCCTGAGTACAAAATAACATGTTATAATTCATAACACCTTTTCTATGGTCTTCTCCCAGATCAAATTCAGAAAACAAAAAACCAGGAGAAATCAGAGAAGGGGCCAGTTCTCTGGGGAGGCTGTGGAGAGGGGGAGAAGGCAGAGTCCTGCAGGCCAGCCTTCGGCTACAGGAACAGCACCCCCTGGGAGCTCATTCTTTTTAGAGCTCAGACCAGGGGAATCCCAAGAGATTTCACTGTCCCTGAAATGGCAGCGTTTTCGTGCTTCATCAGAATCCCCGTGGAAGGACAATGGAAGCTGGATAAGGGAGCCATTATTTGGAGGCTTCTGCTCTGTCTTTGCAGGAACTTGGAAGTTACAATGGGGAAACTTACTGAAGATTTTTATTTCCAATTTCTCCAAGCAATATCCCAGGTCTGCGTCGTGTTGGTATAGACTTTGCCTTGCAAACAGGTTCATCTGAGAACTCCCCTCCTCCCCAACTCTGTTAATTGGACATTTGCCAGCTGCACATTTTTATCCGTGAAAAGGAAATTCTACTTTGAAATATAGATCTAGGAAATGTGTTTTGAAAATGATGGCAGTTGATAACGATACCATATAAAACACTTGTAGATACGAATTGAATCGGTAATGATTGGTCAGCCAAGCAGAAAGCGCCATAATGCACAAGACAGTGTGCTGTCACAGAATGTTAGAGCAACATTTGGTTTGTGTTCTGTCACACACTTGTAAATGGGATTGTGCAACAGCCCTCAAAGGTGTTGGCTGTATTAGACAAACTTTAAGTTAGTGAACAGTTTGGGGTAAAAGGACTCCACTTTTAGGTGTTGGTGATAGGGTAACATTTCTCCTAAGCAAACTTTTGTTTCTATCTTTTGCAACTTTTAAAGAACTGATTAAAAAAAAAACCACCCAACAATCCACAACCCAAACTTCTCTCTTCAGGTGTGGAAAAGGGTTCACTTTTGCCTGTTACACGATGTTCAGGCCCAGACAGAACACACACTGAAAGATTGATATCTGGCACTGACAATTGCTGGTTGTGAGGCCCAGAGCTAGTTTTCTAACCTCTCTGTGCAACCTTTTCTAATGTCAAATGCAGATAACATAGTCATTATAGATTTAATGAGTGAAAGTCAGCAAAGCGTGAAGCATGTGCTACTGTATTAGGACTTAAAGAAAGAGAAATAATCAGATGGCTTTAAAAATGATTTGGTCAGCTGGGTGCCAGTGGCTCAGGCCTGTAATCTTAACCACTCAGGAGGCTGAGATCTGAGGTTTGCGCTTCAAAGCCAACCAGGGCAGTCTATGAGACTCTTATCTCCAATTACCCCTCCCCCAAAAGCTGGAAGCAGAGCTGTGGCTCAAGTGGTAGAGTGCAAGCCTTGAGCAAAAAAGCTGAGTGTGAGGCTTTGAGTTCAAATTCAGTGGCATGTGCGTGCAAGCGCACGCGTGTGTGTGTGCGCGCGTGCACACACACACACACACACACACAACCCAATATGGTCTTTTAGAAGCCTATGGTCCTTCTTTCTGTAAGGGGCAGTTTAGTCTATGGTGTTAATTTTCTGTGAGTTTGTCCACTTGTCTGCTAATCAAGGAGCGCTGGAGACATGCTGTTTGCTATGAGTCACTGTAAAAGAGGACGTCCACACCTAGACCACATGGCTCCTTGGGAGACAAGGGGCCTCTGCCTCCAAACATCTCCGATGCAAGTTAGATAAGGTGCACTGCTTTATGTCAGCGCTCTGGGGACAAGTCTGCTCAAGAAAAAGGATTTACTAGAACAAACGATCAAGGTAGTGCTTCAGACCAAAGGGAAGCTAGTAACAAACACTGTAACCTGGAACCTAGTTCCAGATGAAACCAATGAAAGGAGATAAGCCATCCCATAGAAAGGGTCTAATTTTTCCATTAATCAAAAGTAGGGAGCCAGATATGGTGGTGGACGCCTGTAATTCCAGCACATGGGAGGCTAAGGCAGGACGATCTCAAGTTCCAAGGTCATGGGGGGCTGGGGGGGGGGGGGTAGGGAGGAGGATCTAAAGAGGCATCTCTTTAGACACCGTCAGTTTTGTAAATGCTAACAACATTTCTTGCCTCTTTTCCTAGTCTTCTAGTGAAACAAATTAAATACTCATGACATAAGCTCAAGGTAAGTGAATGTTTAAATCCTAGCCTTTTCACTTCATTAGCTATAATGTCTTGGCAAGTTATAAGGCCTGTTCATACATAGGGCCTACATTTGGTATCCTGCTTGGCATAGATGAATCATTTACTAGATGGTAGTGGTTACTAATCCCCCCTCCCCTTGGTCTGTCTGTCTGTCTGTCTGTCTGTCTGTCTTTCTCTCAGTAAAATGGCATGGAGAGAACCATTTTATTTACAAAGCCTTAACATACAGGATTTAAATGTGGGATTAAATATTCACACCCAGTTCAAGTATTCATGTCTACACTTGAAACTAAAACTTGATAACTTGAGGCATGAATCCAGTGTAATCTGAGCCCAGTCTTAAGGCCTTAAACATAGTCTATACAAAGGCTTAGGATAATTCTACTACCTGGATTTTGTTCCTTTTGCCCTCACATAGTTGGTGCTAAATAAATGGTGGCATCAGTGGTTCATTGAGGGTTTTGCAATATTCAGTTGATTAGCGACATTTAACCTTTGTGAATAAATTCCCAGTCAGGTGGATTTTCTATGTATAGGTACAAGAGAAAGATGAGAACAATGGCTTTCCAAATAATGATCTAAGTAACAGTAGTAACAGTAGTAGTAATAGTAGTAGTTCTCTGTGTTGTGTGTGTGCTGGTACTGGGGCTTGAACTCAGGGGCTGAGTGTGGTCCCTTAGCTTTTGTGCTTGAGGCTGGTGCTTTACCATTTGAGCCACACTTCTACTTCTGGCTTTTTGCTGGTTAATTGGAGATAAGTGTTTTCCTGCCCTGGCTGGCTTTGAACCTCGGTCCTCAGATCTCAGCCTCCAGAGCAGCTAGGATTACAGGCATGAACTACCAGCTTCAGCAAAGTAGTCATTTCAGACAGCTCTCCAATTCCATTCTCCGTCGACGAAGGAGCAGAGTAGTCGTTCAGGAAGAACTCTCCTAGGCCAAACCTATCATTTTACACAAGACAGAAGCTGAAGAGACTAAGCCATTTGTTCACCTGGCAGAGTCAGGACGTGAGGCCTTCTGAGATCAGTCATTTTGCCCCTGGGAGACTTTCCAGTTATTTAAATACACAGTGTGAACAGGTGTATCAAGGTGTTGATCTGAGGAATGCATCCACTGGCACAGGTCACAGGGCACAGGTTACAGGTCAGGGGCTGCACAGTGGACCAGACCTGGCCTGGTAATGCTGACATTTGTATTCGTTTATTTAGGCCTCTCTGGTGGTTGGAGGGAAGACCCCGGGGTGGAGCTGGGCTCCGGGCCCGGCGGGGAGGGGGGAGGGGGAGGGCGGGCGCGGGGGAGGAGCCCGAGGCCCCGGGGCCCGGCACGGCCGGCGGAGGGCGCCCCGCCCCCGCGCGCTGATTGCTGCGCGCCCGGCCCGGCCCCGCCCGCGCGCGGAGCGAGGGGCGGCGAGCGCCCGGGGCGGCCCGGCCGGGGACACCGAGGGCTCCGGGGACCGCGAGCCGCACTCTCCTCTTCCCGGAGAGCGAGGGCGGCCAGGCCTGCGGCTCCGCGCGCTCCGCCGCTCCCTCCGCGCCGTCCTGAGCTCCGTGCTGGAGGCGGGCGACCCCAGCGGGGCCGGATGGCGTAGCTCTGCGCTCGGGCCGCGCTGCCGCCGGAGCCCGGGGCTGGGCGGGGACCGCCGCGGGTGATCGGCCCGGGACCCGCTGCGCCTCCGAGGTACGAGGGAGCGGGACCCGCGCGGGGCGGCGGCTTCTGCGGGGTGACGCGGGTTGGGGACCCCCGGGGCCGCGGAGGGCGGCGGGGTCCGGCGGGGTCTCCGCTGGAGGCCGCGGCACCAGCGATCGGGAATTCTCCACGGCCGCTCTTCCCCGCGGGGCGCCCCAGCCGCTTCCCCCCGGGACGCGGGGCGCCGTCGGTGGGAAGCGCGTGCGGTGCGGTGCGGGGGTGGGGGGGCGCGGTTCCAGGACTCGTGCGCCCCGAGCCGTGCGCGCCTTCGGGGCGCTTTGCGGGGCTGCAGCCCCGGGGCGCGGGCGGGGGGGGGGGTGTTCGGCCACGCCCCCCGGGGTGCGTGGGGAGAGTTTGGAAGAATCCCCGCGTGTTCCCTCGGTTCCGGGGGATTTGGAAGCCGGGGTCTGCGGACGTCGTCCCCCCGCGTCCCGGAACCCGCGCGTGGGCCCGCCGCGCCGGAGGCGGCTTGGGGGACCGCACCGAAAAAAAGCAAATAAAAAGAGCTGCGGGGAGAAAATCGCCCCATTTCGCGGAGCTGGGAAAGCCGGGGGCGGGGGGGTCGTGGTGTCCCGGCCCCTCGAGGCCAAGGCGAGGACCCGGTGATGGAAGGTGTGTGTGGCCGGGACGAAGGCAGAGCCGCCCCGCGCGGGTGTGAGCGCGACCCACTCGGGCCGGGGGCCGCGGGGAGCCCCAGGGGGCCCCGGGGGAATCCGGGGGCTGGGGTACCGCGTTTGCGCAGCTCCAGCGCTCGGATGATCTTTTAATCTTCCTGAAATCGGGTACTTTGGAGTCAGAACGCACATGTTTCTGTTGGCTGATGATGATGATGATGTTGATGATGATGACGATGATGACGACGACAGCCACCAGCGCGCCTTGCTGTGTCCTGGCACCTGGCATCTTCGCCGACTGCTTTTTTTCCTTTTTAAAATTTTTACATTTTTTTGTTACCATACATTAATAGTACAGGGGGAGTTTCCTCTGATCATTTCATAAATATGTCCAGTTTCTTTGTTGTTGTTGGGCTTGTACTGGGGCTTGGTACTGGTACTCAAGGCTTTGTACTCTTTCTTGTCTCTCAAGCCTGGCACTCCACCACTTGAGCCATACCTCCACTTCTAGCTGTTTGCTGAGTAATTGCACCCAAGAGTCTTGCAGACTTCTTTTGCCCATCGAGGGCAAGGTTGAGTCTTCTCTGCCCAAGACCATGAGCAGCTTTCTTAGCCTTGACCTCCGAGTGTCCCTGGTCACTGGAGGGGTGGTGGTGGTGGGCGTTGGGGGTTCAGATTTGTTTCTGGTTTGTTCCTGTGCATCAGTCCATAGAGATCCTTCACCCCTTCCATAGAATCCTAATGCTTTTTGTTGTTGTTGTTGTTTGTTTGTTTGTTCTGGGGCTTGAACTCAGAGCCTACCACTGTTGCTTGCCTTTTTTCCCCCCTCTCAAGGCTGACCCTCTACAATTTGATCCACACTTCCACTTCCAGCTTTTCGCTGGATAATTGGAGATAAAGAGTCTCAGACTTACCGGTCTGGGTTGGTTTTGAACCTCAACTCTTAAATCTCAGTCTCCGGAGTAGCTAGGACTAAAAGACACGAGCTAACATAGCCTTTGCATCTGATTAACTTAGGTGATTATCCATTTACGGATGAGAGCCCAAAGACAGCTCCCTCGAGATGGGCTCCAAAGAAGTATAAATAGAACTCTGCCTTGTGTTCCTATGGGTCTTTATTCTTAATTTCTTTTATGAATTCACCAGGCATTGTTGACCACAGTTCCTTGGCTTCCTTAGGAAACAGCTTGAGGTTGGCACAGGAGGCAGGGAAATAATTCTTACCCCCTTAAGGGCTATTAAAATGGAATTGATTTTGTGCCATTGTGTCAGTTAAAGGATGTGGCTCTGTTTCTTGATGTTCTCTGCCTTTGGCTTTCATTCTGCATTGTTTAGCGGTTCAAGGCTTCAGTGTTTCTCCCTCCCCCCTCCCCCATTTAATCTGTCTTTGTTGTTTGTCAATTTTAATTTTTCCTGTTGTGATAGAACCTGACCATTGCCTAGCAGCTTAGCTCCACTGTGGATTCAGCTCATGTTTTCCAATGTGAAGATCACCACCAAATTGCTTTTTGAACTCCCCAGCACTTCAAAGGCAAAATCCCTGGAGAGTCATTGTTAGGTTTCCATGATCAGCCAACAGGGGGCGCACAGCATACTCTTGATGTCTAGCGGGCACCTAAACCTGTTGGTGGTGAAACTTACATGTTGAAAGTGGAAAATGTGGCTTTATCTAGCAGAATAACCAAGTTGCTTTCTGAGTTTGCATTGAAGAACTGGGTTTAATTTCAACTAATTAAAGATGACCTTGAGGGAAGGGTCTGTATGTCGAAGGGTCTGTATGGTGGACTGGACAGATATTGAAATACACATTACAGGACTGGGGATGTAGCTCAGCAGGAGAATGATGGCTTAGATATATAATGTCCTGGGTTCCCCCTCCCCCCACCATTTATTTTCCTTAAAAGTCTGTAAGTAAACTATTTCTTTTGTAGTTTGAGTAATTTTTCAGGTCCCTACCTCCTTCCCTTCCTCCCTCCTTCTTGTTGAACCCAGGACCTTACCATCTACACAAGTGCTCTACCACTTGAGCTTGGCTTTTCTAAGTGTAAGATTATAAAGGATTATTAACTTAAACTACAATTCAATTACTATGCATTCTTCAGAGATGTGTGTTTTAGTAGCAGGTTGACTATCACTAACAGAAATGCTAAGTATCAAGACGTGTTCTAATTTCTTCGGACTCTGGAATATATGCACATACCTAATAACGGGGAGGTAACCCAAGGCTAAACACCAAGTTTGTATTTCACATATACCTTATAATGTAAAAGTACTTTCATGCAGTAATTTTTGGTGCCCCTAAGTCCTGGCTCCCACCTGTCACATGAGGACAGGCATAGAATTTTCCATTTGTGTCTGTTTGGTGCTGAAGTGTAGTATTTTGGAGCATTTTTGATTTTTGATTATTGATAGAATTAATTTGCATAGCAATAGTTTGACTTTCATCTGATATCAGTGCCGGCATCTGTGATGTGTGCATGGACAGGCAAATCTGTCTATAAAACATTATCAACATGGAAGAATTCATAAACATGGAAAAGTCAGTCAAATAGATTTTGGAAAAAGATTTTTTTTTTGTCGGTCATGGGTCTTGAACTTTGGGCCTGGGCACTGTCCCTGAGCTCTTCAGCTCAAGGTGAGTGTTCTACCACTTGAGCCACAACATCACTTCCTGGAAAAAGTTTTTCTAATCTTGATAGTTTGGTGGGCCAGTTTCTTTACTTATGTATCATGTAGTATTATTTTAAAATAACTGTCCTGTGTAGCCACTTCTTTCCGTATTGCAGCATTTTACTTAAACAGGAGTCACTTTTACGTAGGAGCTCATTTAGTTTTAATTTACAAGTGTTTAACATCTCACTACCATGCCTAATCTGGTTTTAGAGTTTGTCAAATTAGCGTCCTCACTTGGTTCTCCAAGTGCTGGGAGCTACAAAGGTGTAAGCTTGTTTAGGGAGTTCACCTCCAGCCTTTAAGGACTGGTTAAATTAGTTTTTTGAAGCTGTTGTTCCATTCTATTTAAGACTCAAAGGAATTAATCGTTCCCTTTTACATGCAAATTTGGCTGTGTAGTGTCTCTTAGTCTCCTAACTCCAGGGAAAGAAAAAATATCCTTTGACATCACTACTGTTTTCTTTCCTAGTTAAGTCACCAGTTTCCTAGGATCCTAATTGCTGAAAGGTTCAGATTTTGTTTAAAACCTCCAGTTAGAATTTGAGATTTGCGCTTGCATTGAAGAACTAGGCTTAATTTGAGCTAATTAAAGATGACCTTGATGGGTCATAGGGTCATTTATAGAATATTCTTCCTGGATGATTGAATATTCTTCCTGGATGATTGAGCTGTGTTGATTTTGAATTATTCATTCTTGGTCAGTCATTTTCAAATGGTTTTTCTTTGTCTTTTTATGCTATGGAATAAAAAAAATTAATGGTCAGAATTATTAGCTAATAGAAAACTTTATTTTGTATTTATTTTTGGTAGTGGGGCTTGAATTCTCTGGGCCTGGGCGCTGTCCCTGAGTTTTCAGCTCAATGCTGAGCACTCTACTACTTAAGTCACAGTGCCATTTCTGGTTTTCTGGTGGTTAATTGGAGCTAAGAATCGCATAGACTTTCCTGACTGGGCTGGCTTTAAACCGCAGTCCTCAGATCTCAGCCTCCTGAGTAGTTAGGATGACAGGTATGAGCCACTGACGCCTGGCTAACAGTGCTTTTTTTTTTTTTTTTTTTGGTTGGGGGCTTGAACTCTGGGCCTGAGCGCTGTCTCTCAGCTCTTCAGCTCAAGGCTAGCGCTCTACCACTTCAGCTACAGCTCCACTTCCAGTTTTCTGGTGGTTTATTGGAGATAAGAGTTTCACGGACTACCCTGCCTGGGCTGGCTTTGAACCTCCATCCTCAGATCTCAGCCTCCTGAGTAGCTAGGATTACAGGCGTGAGCCATCGGTGCCCAGCTAACAGTGCTTTTTTTTTCTAATTAATTTTTTTGGGGGGGGGGTCCAGTCGTGGGGCCTGAACTCTGGGCCTGGGCACTGTCCCTCAGCTCTTCAGCTCAAGGCTAGTGCTCTACCACTTGAGCCACAGCGCTGCTTCTGGCTTTTTTCTTTTTTATTCTGTGGTGCTGAGGAATCGAACCCAGGGCCTCACGCATGCAAGGCAAGTGCTCTACCACTGAGCCACCTTCCCAGCCCTAAAATTAAATTTTAATAATACAATTTCAGCCAGCCCACTGGAGGAACTTCTTTATGTTTACAAACTTCTTAATTTTTTTTTCTACATTAAAAAATGTTAGCGACTTTTCTTTTTGAAAATATTATTTGAGTTGGGGTAAACATAAGGTTTTTAAAACTTAAAAGCAAGCTTGCAATGACATTAGAGA